GCTCTGGACTGTAACCGTCATCACCAAGTTCATTCATCATCATCACATCACATCACACCTGCGAAAGTGCCTGGAAACGACTGCAAAGAAAAGCACATATGAAATGAATCAAAATGAAATCTAGTCTATAAGCTTAACCAAAAAAAAAACCGTCCCATAAACACCAAAACTGCCGAATATCTCCTTGTCGATGCCGGTTCTTTTCTCATTCTAGTCGTATTCAAGGCCATATCCAATGGCATACATGCATCTCTTGCCCTTGCCGCACCACGCATGAAACACCATGAACTGTCCATTTTCCGAACTTGTGCCTCCACCAGGACCTTTCAGGCCTAGAGTTGGTGTCTTGAGAAATGGAGCTTTCCCCCGCCTGTAAGGGCCCTCGACCCGGTCACTTATGGCATATTTGAGATCATAGGCATCGCCTGTGTAAATGTGGCTACTGAAGAAGAGCAGATACTTGCCCTGTTCTGTCCGTACCAGACTCGGAGCCTCAACCAGGGGCCCATCCTCGGAGACGATCCGGTCCAGGATGTCCACAGGTTTGCCGATCGGTGTGGAGCCGTCCTTTGTCGAGACCTCTTGGAGTCGGATGGGAGTTCCCGAGCCGTCGTTGAGAGCGTTGCCGTCGACTTTATAGACGACATATCGTTTCTTTGTAGACTCGTCAAAGAAACCCGCCGGGTCGATTGCGCCGCCTTCGTCACGTGGGCAGGCGAATGGTTCAGGATCCATTGTATATGGACCGGTGCTGTTGTTGGATCGTGCAACTCCAATGCAATGTCCACCTTCTGGAAGTTCTCCAGAAAAGTACATTATGTACGAGTCATCCTCCAGCTTCCGCACGTCAGGGGCCCAATAATTTCTGCCACTCGTCCATCCGTCTCCAGGGAGGGCATCTTGCTGGAGATGAGTCCACTCGCCCATGAGATCATCTGCTACGGCGACCTGGATGTGGTAGCCACCACCGCTTGTTGCAAAAGACACCCAGTGGTCGTCTTGGTCTTGAACAAGGCATGGGTCGGGGAAGTTGATATCTAGTCGTGGAGAGAAAGACCTTCCGCGACCTTTATGTCTTCGACTCAAGTGCTGCTTTGGTGGTGGCAATATGAATGGTCGAAGAACAGGAGACGATGTGTTCGTTGGTAGGGCTGATGCAGTGTCGAAAAGAGAGAATGAGAGAATGAAGAAGATGATCAGTCCACAGGGACTCGATGAAGCGGACATGACGGGCATATCTTCTGAACTCAACCCTTTCTGGGACGCCGGCGGTGCAGCATATAAATCGTTCAGCTGAGCCTCAATCTCGGTATCAGTCAATCTCTATGTCATGTATAGTCGATCACTGGGTCCGAGTAAAGCTGAAGGCTAAGTGATCAACACGCTCTGACGTTGAGTTGTGAATCCTTGACCCAGATGAGAACTTGGCAAGTATTTATATCCCAAGGGAAAACAGACTTTGCAGAAGAAGGCTTGAGTCGAATACGCCTGCAAAAGTGTAGATAGGCTTCTGATTCAATGACGGGTCTTGTTGGAGGTAATTTTTCATGTATGAGCAACTCTAACTGATCTCCGGGACAAGAAACTTTTGATATCAGAACCTTAGACGAGCAAACGCACAACTAACCTCCGAGTTTTCCTCACTTTATACTTCTACTCTTACAGCCACAGGCCAAGCCATGGGACCTACTTCCACCACTTACTACGTGACCCTCTTTGCTATCACGCCAATACACTCTCATGCAGGACAGAAACGGCCAACTAGACGCTCTCTTGACAACAGTCTAATCTTAAGCCCATCCCTGATCTTAATAGGAGCAGGCAAAGGAAGGGACCAAAAATTCAGCCAGTCCAAGTAAACGCCCAAGCCGGGATATCCCTCGCCATCATGCTGTGCCATGCGCTGGCTAACAGAGTTGCAGCGACTTGAATCCTCTGCTTAGCGAATAGGTCGCTGCGGTGGAAGTCCACTCCCTCAACTATGAAACAGGGACAGCTGTTACTCGAGATGCGTTGCTGGAGCCTGATTCGTCCAATGTTTCCACCCAGGCCCAATGTTCTGTTTGGCCAAGACTGGTTCCTTTTTGATATGCGACTAATACGACAACGGTTGGATTGTTACTCGACCGTACGTATCAGGGACTTTCCAATGTTCCTCCTGTGGAACCCTGACTCAACTAGACTACCCGTACCTTATGCTCTCAGTTATTTCGTGCCCAGAAAAATGTGTCATCATACTTACAGTAGCCTCGACAACACATGCATTGCCCAGACTTGACGGACGTTTCATGACGATGGGACCTCAGATCGGATTTCAACAATACCGTAACACCAAGAGCCACCGTCCTACGTGACCGCTACATTATATGTCATGGTCAGTGTACCCCAACCACGCATCAGTCCTTACACACAGCGGTCACAAGCATAAACTACGGCAGATAGACATGATTAAACCTCATACATTCACAGATACTAGACAGACGGTTCCCACAGAGCCATGCAGTAGTTTTATCGTGCTTTGCATTGAGTGCCTTGCATCTACTCCTACCAGGATTTTCGAACCAAAAACGCCATGATAACCCCAAAAACATTTTCAAGCAGCCAAAAACGGCACGAGAACAAGAATATGGTACAGCAAACAGACCTCTCCTTGCCAGCAGAACCTACATCTCGGGTATCAAGATCTGCCTTCAGGTTTCGGCCCATACCCAAACTTGGCCTGTATTCCATTAGTCGCTGTCGCTGTCCATAGCCTCGCCCTTGGCAGCCTTCTTAGCAGCCTTGGCCGCCTTTTTCTCTGCCTTTCTTCGTTTGCGCTCAGCCTTCTCTTCAGCAGTTTCGCCATCGTGCTTCTTGCGCTTCTTGTCCTTGCTGTCATCAGCAGCAGGTGAAGAGGGAGTGGCAGCCTCCTCCATGGGAGTATCCTCAGCCTCGGAGGCCTTGGCAGGAGCAGCGGCGGCGGCGGCGGCGGCAGAGGCATCGCTGGTGCTGAAATCCTTGTATTCGGAGCTCCACTTGGCAGGAGTGGCATCGTTAGGGCGGCCGTACTTGTCGAGTTTGCCGTCAGCCTTGAGCTTCTTCTTCTCAAGAGCAACAGGGCCGAGGCCCCAGCGGCGGGGGTAGAGGTCGCGCTCCATGATGCAGCGCTTGACCTTGGCAACGACACCGTGGTCGCAGGTGGACATCTCGACAGTGGACATCTGAGCGATACCTAAAGCAATGGCTTCACCCTTGGTGGTCATAAGAACGACCTCCTCGTGATGCTCAATGGCAGACTCTGTCAATGAATTAGCAAGTTGCGACACGAATTATCGCTTGAGGACTTACCGTATCGAAGAAGACCGGGAAGCATGAGCTTGGCACCATAGCAGACAGCGTTAACAGCACTGTCCTTGACAACAAGTCGCTTGTAAGAAGTCAGGAGAGTCTCAAGAGGAGAGATAACCTTGCGAAGGTAAGACTCGTCGCGGGTGTTATCCATTTGCCACTGGGCGTCGAGAACATCGTGGAGAGTGACCAGGCCCTTGGACTCATCCATGGCACCACTGCGGACACGTCGAAGCTCCTGCATGTGGCCACCGACACCGAGAAGGAGACCCAAGTGGACACAGAGGGTTCGGATATAAGTACCGGCCTCGCAGCTGACCCAGAAGACACCGAGGTGTCGGTCGTTGTCGAACTCGATAAGCTTGCTCTCGTGAATAGTTCGGATACGGAGCTGACGCTTGACGGCAGAGATCAAAGGGGGTCGCTGGAAGAGCGCACCGGTAAGAGTCTCGAGAGCGCGGGCGAACTGGGCCTGGCCACCGGGCAGCTTGTCGTGAAGGCGGATGACAGCCACATACTCCTTTCCGGCACCCTGCTGGGACTTGACAAGACGAGTGGCACGGTCAATGCAAACGATCAAGCAACCAGTGACCTTGGGATCGAGGGTACCACTGTGTCCAGTCTTTTCGCATCTATAGGCAACATCGTTAGCAGATAGCTCGACTTGGACGCGCACTTTGACGCGATACTCTTGGTTGGAAAATTTTCGTACCGTAGAATGCGCTTGACCCAAGCGACGACCTCGTGTGAAGAAGGGTTAGAGGGCTTATCGAGATTGATGACACCAGAGCTGATGTATTGCTTAAGATCGCGCTTCAGGGGAGAGCAGCCATTGGGGATGGGAGTGAAGTGGCCTGTTCGGACAAGAACTGCAAGTTTTGAAGATTATCAGTTAGTCTTCTGAATCTCAAATAAGTGATCAATTGAGGCTCGGCAGGCCACCGGAAAGTATCAAAAACGCGCTTTAATCATCGAATTGTATCAGGAAACTCACGCTTGTCGTAGTTCTTGAGTAGCAGAGGCCACTGGCTGGTGTCGAGAGAAGGAGTGGTCGCCTGGGGCTTGATGGTGTACTCCTCCTCCTCTGTTGTCGTCTTCTTGACGACCGCGACCTCCTTGGACATTTTGAACGGATTATAGTTTCCCTTTTTGAAGTTGTGTGATATACCGGGTGAAGCGCGGCAGGTGCTTCTTTGCGACAGGAGGGAAGAAACGGAAGGTGCGAGTCGTTGGTTTCCTCAGTGTCTTGCCCGGTGTTGTTGGAAGCTTCCAAATTTTTTTTTCTCTGGTCGGATTTCATTGTGGGGACTGAAGGAAGCTGCGACCGGCGTGTGGCGGTAATTTCACACTAATCCCGATGTGGCTACATCGTCTCTCTACCTTACCCTTTAGAGCCACAGTCGACGCCACACCAGCTTTTCATGAACCTTCAACACGGGGGAACTACCATGTGACTACTATCAACTTAGGTAGGTGCCTTACCATGTTATACAATGGGCAACGACAAGAGTATACTTCTCAATATCTAGGTAGAGACTACGATCATGATTGGATAGCTGTTGGTATCAAAAAAAAAACTGGCAAAATGAAATTGGTATCCATGCTATCAAACTCCAAGCGTCCAATGGCAAAGAACGCAGTTAATGTGGGTGAATCAATTCTTTCTTCAAGTATTATGGCCTCCTCCCCCTGAAATCGTCATCATAAGTGTCCTGGTATTCATGCCCTTGACCTTGGTATATCTGGCTCTGGTGCACATCTCCATGAGCGAAGTAATCGGGTTGTGAATATAATCCCTCGAGATGCTCGGGTTGGTAAATTCCAATGGCACCATGAGACCGTCCATCCACAGGATACATCTCGTATGACTCGTCTTTATCTTTACCCTTTGATTGGGGAGTGTTGAGCGACGAATCATCACCACCAAGAGCTACACCAATTTGTGATCCTGAGGGACTCGGGTCAGGCTTGTACATAGAAGGGAACATCTCAGGATATGGATGGGGATTGGATGCCTGGTTAGGCATCAGCGGATATGCTTGTTGGTTTGGGTTCATCACCGGCCATTGGGCTAGCTGCAGCTCCGTGGCACTGACAGGACTGCCGAACTGGGAGCCGTAAGGGGAGACATATCTTGGGAATGTCTTTTCGGATCGAGCGCTGACGGGAGATTCGTCCCAACTTCTGAATGGCTTTTGGCTTAAGGGTGTCTCTCGCATGTCGTTGTCGTTAGAGATGTGCAATGGTGTAGGCCAACCCTTCTTAGGCCAACTACCCTTGGTACGGGGTCGGGTTTCGAGCTGTCGCAAAAAGGCCCGTCTCCGTCTCTTACCGCGCCAGATGATACAAAATCCAAGGACAAACAATAGAAATACCACACCTCCGGCAGTGATGCCGACCTTAGCACCGAGACTGATAGGGCCTTGGTCAAGCCAATCCGGATTCACAGAAGCTACAGGTGTGGGCTCAGTGATGTTGACAATGTCCTGGGAGAAGAGGCCGCCATCAACAGATACTGTAACTCCAGGTTGTGGTTTTTGCTCGCATCCAGCTTGAAGTAGAGTAAAAACTATTATTCATCAGCGTTTGACCAACCACAGACGTATGGCAGATGCTCACAGTTAGCTAAGTAATGGTTGTCGCCCGCCCTTAGGCAATCTGTACATCCATCGAAGTCAGGCGTGTCTTGAACAGGCCAGGTATCGCAATAATCGTAGCTTTGAATGTCTGAAGATAGATTCTTGTATTCAACGGCTTGGCGGAACGGTCCACAAGCTTTTCTGTTCATATTGTGAGCTTCAAATTGATAGAAGGCGATCATAAAGGATGAGCTAACATACGAGGTTAAGCAAGGAGTATTGATAACTTTATTGTTACCAGGAACACCAAACAAACAATATGAGACCGCATAGCGTACATTGTCTAAATACGATCAAGTCGTGTTAGCCACTGGGGGAAATATGTACACAGATAAGCTTACATAACAACCATTGCTGGTCGGTTTCGTTGTTTTTTGTGTGATAATCACTTCCGAGCTCACATGCCACGCATTGCTGATAAACAATCCCCGCGCCACTCTTGTAATCGTCTTCCTGGCAAACGATATCGTCAGTGGTAGTGGCATCGAGGACATTGCCACACAGAGTCCCGCATGGTGAGTTCTCCGCTACCAAGATGGCGGCGACAGAACTGAGTGTGCCCCAGGCTGATACCAAAGTTGAAGTTTTCATCGTAGGAGAATAAGGCTGTAGAACTTGGCCAGCTCGTGGGCTGCAGATTTGAGATTGACTCGACCAAAGCGGGGGGACTGGTCAGAAATTAAGAATCTCTTGTGTTACATGAATGGGGTCCGACACAGGTGAATCAATTCTGCAATTTTTGAAACGCCTGGATATTGGGGGCGAAAGAGCGAGAGGCGATCGTGGTGCTCTTATAACAAAGATGAGACAGAACTGAACCGCTCATCTGATGTGACAAACGGCTGTGCCTGGGACCAACGTGTGAAAACGGTAGGAGATGCTGCAGCGGCACATACACGGCGGCTGGGAAATATCAGAACATTCGATAACCCAGCTGTGGTTAGTAGTGTGACAATCTGAATGATGAGAGTGATGAGTTTCAACAGTGCGGTGGTAGTAGAGTGCAGCCGCCAGTTCTTAATGCCCCAGTATCTCTTGTCGCACGCGATAGTGATTGGCATAAGGAATGCCTGGGGGCGGAAAACACCATTGGAAGATCCGCGGTACAGCGGCACTCTATATCACAATATATCAAAGCAAGAAACGATTGGGATTGGTCACTGGTGAAGGAACGTGGTGTGCATTGTAGCCTTTGGTGTTGATGAGAGGGACATTAATGAGGGGTCCGACCACTAAGAATTGATATCACCTACACCACCCAGCCTCTAACAGGGGGCTGATGCAGAGACCCTGGACTTTCACGCTAGCGCCAGCGGCAAGAGAATCAATCACCGGTCAGTATACCCTTGTCCGGACGGGCTACCGAGTCTAGCGGAGGTCTCCCGGGGCTAGGCCTATCAACAGTTCCTGGTGTACACAGCCATACGGCATCAATAGCCCCAATTGTTGCCAACATGCTCATGGTATCCGTGGGCTTTTCTCTTCTTGTAATTATGCAAGCACCTCTATCCCAACCAGAGAGATCCAATGAAGGGAACCTCGCGTACATAGACGTACATACCTGATCGGGGGAATCACCTGTAGGTTTACCATATAGGAATTCCACAATATGTTCTTCAGCTTTTCCATCTTGTCAGTGGCCCGGATTCCGCCTCTATGGATATGCAACCCGGTGCGGTTCATTGACAATCTCACAAAATTTTGATTATAAGCAGGCTTTTGAGCATTACAAATTCTTATATTTAGTGTCAGTTGTGTCTCTTCGATTGAAAACAACGGACATCTACATGACACTCGGACGCGAACTCATACCGTGGCATCATCGTCCATGCACCAACGCTACATATCTCATAAAGAAACCGAATGTGATTGAATGAGGTTATACGTAGCAGCAATAGCCAAGCCAACAACAGGCTCAACCTTAGCTTTCGGGGGGACAAAGGTCGTCATATCCCACAACCTATTAACCACGGGATGATAGGTTCCTAGCAATACCACAAAGGTATCAAGCTTCCAGCTACTCGTGAAGGCAGCACCAAACTCCAAATTGCTCATTGACTATCACATAAATTCCCCTGCAAAATACCAAGAATAAAACCGAAATGCTAGTTGGTGGCATAGCAGCCTGTGTAATAATGACGTTCTCGCCAATGCAACTGATGTACAAGCATCGCTCTACGCGACAGAGTTGGCGGTAACATCCACCAATCCCAGAGCGTCCGTTTCGGCGCAACGGGTCGTTGGTGTTTTCTCGGGGCCATCCAAACTGTTACTGAGAAGTGGCTCAACTTCTAATCCATTCGTCATGAGAACCATCGCTTTGGGCGTAGAAGGATTGAAAGAGGGCGTAGCAGGCGAGCGCCCCGGGGTAGAAATAGTCTGAAGAGTTTCAGCAAATGATCCACAGTCACTGGCTTCGGCTGCTTCGTTCTGCGGGGGTGCACTTTGAGCCATGTTGTCTAAAGGATTTTCTAGTTGAAGCTGGCTCGCATCGCCTGAAGATGCTCGTCGAGGTGCTGCTGGCTCTGGTTCCAGATACTGTGGGGTACCAGCACTGGAAGCTGGTCTCTGTGCAGGAGACGACTTTGGAGGCGAATGAGGCGGTGGTAAAGGATTGCCACCATTCACGGTTCCATCAGCAGTCGACCTTCGACCATGAACAGGGCAGTTGGGACAAAGAATTGCTTCAACACGTTCAAACTCAACAGGGACAGCATCACTAGATCGACGCCGCCCGGTCTGGGCAGACGAAGTCCTATCAGTCTGTCGACTACCAGATGCATGTCTGTGAATTCGACGGTGCAGTCTATCATTTCGCGTGGAATCTGCTGATGATGCTCGTTCAGTGGTTGGAAATATAGCATTGGTGGTTCCATTGGTGGGTGAAACTTTCGGTCCAGGTGTTCGTCCTCGACTAGCTGCGCGTGAAGCAGGGCGAACCTTGTTGATCTTCGACTCGGGTGTACCAGCCCGATCGTTGTCAGCAGCACGAGCCCTATTCATAGCGAATGAGTTGCTACGCTGGTGATGTGCTGCTGAGGACAAGGACTGGTAGTGGTTCCTATGCTCGTCCTCGAGGATGCTGGGACTGGCAGCGATGCGAATCATGTGTTTTTCACGTTGAGGGTCGGGTGTGTCTGTCATTCTGGGACGACTGCCAGTTCTGGAGGGAGGAGACTGAACGCGCTCACCAACAGGAGTACCTGCTGCAGAGCCTGCCCGCGTTCTACTCGCTGATTCAGCTCGGAACGATATGCCCTCCAGGTGTAATGAGATAGCTGCATTGGTTCCCCTATCACCTAGAGATGATCCAGACCTTTCATGCATTCTCGAGCGGCTAGCATTGCGAGATTTCGGAGACGATGGTCGTGCCAAAGACCTGTCTTCTGTTTCCGTTGGTTGTGCTACTCCTTTAGAGTTGACGGATGCCGAGTGTGCTGATTTACTGGTTCTGGTTGTCCGATTTGATGATGAGTTAGATTGAGGGGACTGCGACTGGAGATGGCGAGGGTCTATGGGGGTCGCATTCTCCTTTGCTCGATCTCTGACAGTACTGCGGTTAGGGGTGTGCGCATTCCCAGTGATAGCTGGCCAAGGGAATGGTTCAGGCCTCCTCCCAATAGGTGTCCCAGGCGTCCACCCCCCGACCCCTAAGGGAGTTCGCATGAAATTATCATTACGGGACCAATAAAACTGCTCCGGTGAGACAGGGGAAATATCCTCAAACGGGGTGTCTGGGCTGAATGGTCCAGCGCTGTGGATCGTGACGTCGCCTCCATATATCAATTTCTCGGAAGAGAAGAAGTTTTCTGGGTAGCCACTCAAGGGGGCGCCACTGTCTGGGTAGGGAGTGCTTTCTTCAGGAGGTCGAGGATTTGTGCGAATGGTTCTCGTAGAAGCCTCAGACTGTTCGGACTTCATAGAACGAATTGATCTCTCTGATCTTAGCGATGCAGCGCTGATGGGGTGATCTGGAGGGTACTGGTGTGGGAGAATCGGAGGTGATTCGGGAATAATCAGTCGAGGCCTGATTGCCATAGGAGTTGGGCTAGGGGCTGACGGCGTTGGAATGTTGAGACTATCTGTTCCTGGCGACCTCGCTGAGTTGCTTTTGACCAGATCGGGCTCTCTTGGAATAGTAATTGCTGGCGGGTATCGCTTTTTCGATGAGGCCCGTGGACGATCGTGAACAAAATCATCTGGAAATTGCGGGGGTGGTGGAAGGGACGCGGTAAGGGTTTGAGATGTTTCCTTCCCATTAGATGACCTGTTGTTGGGATTGCTTTGCTGGTCCTCGGTGGGCTTGTTCGACTTGTGAGCTGGCCCGTTTTTCATGTTTTCCTCCGGTCCACCTGATTGCTCGAGGTGACCAGGTGCCTCCATACCGGAACCCCTGGCATCTGGCCGATACACAAGTTTTGCGTATGGCGAGTTGTTGGTGTCGACGACCAAGAGTTCCTTTTCTCCGCGCCCCAAGAGGCCGTAAACCTTGACCTCCCCATCATGTATACCGATCACTGCGCTTGTCCCGGCGTAGAGAACTTCTTCTTCGTTGCCACAACGATTACAGAAAATGACTATAATCTCTTCTTGAGACTCAGCACGAATGAGGGGTTCCAATCGAGTAACCCAGTAAGTCAGTGTTTCCATGTCCGGTTCGTTTGGCATGCGTGTAAACCGTCGAGGGTCGTCTCGAGTCATCCAAGCCATAGAAACAATCACCAGATTTGACTCGACTTCAAGAATATGATGTGCGAACTCAAAAGCGTGCCACGGTGCTTCATACTTGTATGGGCTATCACGAAAGTCAGTAATTCGTCTACGACATTGAGTCTTTTGCCACGTACTTGAGGTCCATGCCTTTGAAGAAAGACGTTAGTAAAGACTATGTCGAGAGGCTGAGGTGTACTTACAGATGCCTATGGATGTGTTACCCAGTCCAGGAATAAATCCGTCATAAAATCCCCGGCCTCCTTCCAAGGCCCATGTCTCATCGGTGTGGTACAGAAAGTTTTTTCGGTAGTTGGCTATTGTTTCGCCATCACCATTGACAACAATGGTCGAGTTGTAGTATTCTGGGCCCGTTGGCCACTTCGGTGAGACATCGACTTTCTCGGGGTAACCAACAGTGACGGTGCAGTTATACTTGAGAGCGATTGTCCTTGCCCAAAGAGATGTTATGCCGGAACCTGAAGGTTCGAGAAAGGGAGTGATATCTTGCAGCGACTTGAAGTTATACCCTTCTCAAAGTATTAGCGTCTAATGTTTCAATATGCTTCTTAATAGAGGGGTAAGAGAAGAAGGAGTTGGCTAAGAACAGCTGGAAGTCTTTGATCAACATCTTCATCCTTGAGGGAAATTACCAGAGAAAGCCAGCTCGGGCAGAACCAAGACATCCAGATCGTCAGGATTTGCCCTTGACAAAACGGCATCCGCACGATTCAGGTTGTTGTCGACGTCTCCCACCTGGGGCGCAAATTGCAGGCAACCGATTCTCATATCTGCGACAATTGATCGAACCCCGCAGCTGCAACACGCCTCGGCCTGGCGACGCTTGTGGTGATCGAAAGGGAGACTCCAACGAGCTCAACTTCCTCTGCAACAGTAAACAAAGTATAAAAACAATAAGGCTCAAACACACGGTTCAAATCAATAACAAAACATCAGAGGCGATCGGGTCGGAGAAGGTGAATGGGAAAAAGAGAAGATGCGAAAACGATCTCACGACACTAAAAGCGGAGGACACCCAGTTAAGCATAGACCGCGGGGGCCAAAGCGATATATGAGACTGGAGGCTGGTATGCCCCTGTATTCGTTATTGGTAGAACTAATATTAAGTACGTAGTGTTGGGTTGTTGGTTGACAACTTGTGGTTATCAGCTTGAAGTGATGCGATGATGGATAAACGGCAGGAAAATGGGAAGCAAGGGTATAACTGGCTGCTAAAGCTGGAAGGGAAAGGTCGGGTGCGTCTATGTTGACTCGCTTCCAATCAGAACCATTCATTAGACGCCTTGGATTGACCACGACATGGATCAAGAACCCTCCAGGCTCCTCTTCCGGTATCCCTGTTCGTGACGATCCTAGCTTCAACGTTTTCTTCCACTAGAACTGGCCACTGAGAGCAGCTGTGACGACTCCATCATAAGCCTTGTCCAGGGAGGTTTCCCGCACACCGCAAACAGGGCTTCTTCGAGCCCACCCAAGCGCCTTACGAATAAATCAGGCGAGAGTTGTAGCCGAATAGACGCTTGTGACTACGACAGGGACAATATCCTCCACGGATGTCAGGTTCAAGTGCAAGCCGATGCCATCTTTCCTCTCGTCCTCACGCGAGCCCAAGTCTTAGTTACTGCTCCCACGCTTACAAAGTGCATACATGTTGACAGCCCGTTTTCTCCCCTGTATTCCCCACACTCATCTCAACCATGACGTTTTAGTTGGCCACCTTCAATATCGAGATGCTCACAAAGTACGGAGTAGATACTTTGGCATATGACTTATTGGTACATCTTTTAACAGCGGTCAGCGAGCTTCAGTGCCGAGTTATTGTTTCGAAATCTCGTACATTCTGAGCTACAGTCCAAAGACCACTTCAACATTGTGAAATCAACCCACGTTATAGACACCACAAGATAACGTCCAGTACACATGTGGTTTGACATACTGCGTGCATCGAATAGTTGGAAATGAAAAATCTTAAATAACGAGACATAAACTCTGTGCCTTGTAAAGACATGGGATTTATACTTTCTGTTTCGTTTCGAGCTGGCGATACCTGGCACATTCAGATCTTCTCAAGGTTCCTTGCTTCAGATATGGCATCGTGTCCAGTTTCTTCATTCTCGCGACAACACGCCAACCATGTGCTAACAGGTGTCTCGGAGCTCATTGGTTTCCGGTATTTCGGTTCAAGGCGCGAAATGCCAGCGTTTTATTCGCTGGCTGCGGACTTACGGGGTCGATTTGCCCAATAAGGGAAGATATGGCATTGATGCTGCTGGGTCCTCATGCATCTCCCAGGTAGGATTTTCAGCTTGACAAGTGAAATAACTGAGTGTTGGTTGTCCCCAAAGTCCCTACTGGTCTCCAAGCCAGAGAACATGCACAAGACCTAGCCCATGTGATCAGGCCAGAACGGTGAGGCACGAATGGAGGCTAGGATGTGCCAGCGCTTGCGATTGAGGCCATTCATATCTCGATCAAGAGCCTAATCTGAAACACATATGTCTTTGTTAAGCTGACTTCGACTGTTTCTTCATAATCCTACTAATATTCTTATGTTTCTTTCGGAGCAGCGGGAATCGTTCACCTCATATAATATTTTGTTTGACAACGCGTCCCCCTCACATCATACTCTCAATTGATACGGATGCAGATGGAAGAAATCATTGTTTAAGAGAGGCGTTGAAATGGGACAAGAAGTTTGTTGAAAACGAGGCAGTGTGTTCGACGTGAAACTACCTTACCCTAGTACCTATTGTGTAGGGTATGATTCCCCATAGCTGAAGCAAAGTCGCGTGCAGCATGAAAAGGCACCCCCTTTCTTGCCTATTTGTCTTGGGCTGGCGATAGTAGCTCTCTCGGTAGTGCTCGGTTTTGATAATTCAACACAGTTTTCCATAATTGTACTGGATTGAGGAATTCATCATAAGTGTGGGATGAAGCATGTTTCCCATGCCACAGTGGGGAACACAGCTACTGCCGCTTCTCCCCGAATAACTGTAAAGTTAATCTTCTAGGTACAACGTCCAAAAGCACACAACCGCAACCTTCACCAAACATCTCAAACATACCAATATGTACTAGACTGGGTTTTGTCAATATTTTACATACGTACATAGATATGAGCTGGAGGGGAAGAGAAGTGAGCAACAAACTCGAGCAACCACACAAACCCGTTGTGGAGATTCAGTCGTTGGCTCGAATTGGATCCATACCAGTAACATCCTTGCGGTGTAGCCATTATGCGAGTAACAACGCTCGGTAATCAGCACTCGAGGAAAAGTTGAAATGTTGTGTATAGATGCTGGTTACAGTCTCGCAATTTTCGACAGGAAAGGTACATTCTCTTAAATTCCGGGGCACCGGCATATTATATAAGACGGCGGGGTCATACACCTACCTACTTACCCAGAACTCCTCATAATGTTTCCTCTGACTTTACCGCAGAGCTCAAAGTCACACATTTAGAGAAGGAGAAACTGATATTTCAGTCCTTCATGCAGCCGCCTGTTTTCTCCAACCAATCGCGGATGTTGTAGATATCCACACCCACACACTGAATGTCATGCAGCCTCTATCACAGTCACATCACATTGTCAGCAAGCGACACTAGGTACTGTAGATGGTTAGTGGTACTAATTTGAGCCACGCGAGCAAGGAAATGCTGATATTAGAACGAGTCTCCAGCGCGTGCGCGGCAATTAAGCGCTTAATTCCCACTAATCTAATATTACTCAAGATTAAGATAACTAACGCGGAACACGGCAGCAGTGGACACGCACATCTTCACTAATAGTTCAGGTTAGCTAGAATCACTGATTATGGGACCCATAACCCAGGCGTTTGGACTGTAGCTTCAAGCTGAAATAACCCTTCTCTCACAAACTGGTAATCTGTAATGCATGTGCTTGTGCTTGCCCCGCAGCCTACAAGCTTAACGAACGATTGCATGGCCCTCTTAAGCATCGGCTAGAGACTACTGGCCGCACATAGGGCCGGCGTCTACAAATCCATTCAACGCGCCATGGGTTGCTTGCCAGCCTACCAAGAGCCTCCCAACCCTGGCTCAATTAAAGGTCTGCAGCCGCTTGAGAAGTCTCCGCATGATTTCTGATTGGTAGAGCAAGGCGCCAAGCATTTGGACTTCGAACTACTGGAGCCTATTGGCTGTCGGCGATCATTTTGGCTGTTGGGCATTCTATTTTTGGACTTTGTCGTGGACAGGCGACTATCTGCCCTATGAAACAATGATATCTGAAATCATTACAAAGATCTCCTCCAGAGTAGGAAACTAGGAGTTTAATAATACTGTGCTTGCTTATGAGACCCCTGCAAGCCTTCCTACCAGGTGGTGTCTAAAGATTTCGGTTCTATCTCGATAAAATCGTCTTGACACCCACATGTCTTGATCAGCGGTGTTTCTGATACTACATCCAATCTTCCACCAAGAAGCTTATCGTTTTCTTTTATTCCAAGATTGATCAAGACTGGGAATTGCACATCAACGTCGACATAAGCATTGGATATTGTGTTAGCACCAATCTGACGCCTGTCATGCTTGGCTGTTGCCCTTGAGCGACTCATGACCACTGTGACGGTCCTAGCATAACTTCCCTCCAACCGAAACACCCACGCTTTCGACATGCATATCACTCGCTGGAGCTTCAGTATCGTGGCGCTGCTCTCACCTGCCACCATTGCTCTTCAAGCAACGCCCAACTCTGAGTGCGCGGCCCTCTGCTCCGATGGCTCTAACTCAACTCTCAACGACGCCAGTGCTGCGAGAACGAATTCTTCAGATATAGTATGCGAAGACGGAGAGTACACAGAAACTGGAAATGGCATCAGATTCAAGAACTGCCTAAATTGTCTCCAGAAGAGTGAGGATATATGGAGAGAAGAAAGTGACGTTTTTTGGTTCCTTTGTAAGTCATAAGTGAAAAAAGCTTCCAAGCCACGTACACCCAGCTGACACTCCGTGGCATAGATAATGTACGATACGCATTTGACGTTTGCCTCTATTCCTATCCCGATGCTGCGAAGACTGGGACAATCAACTCGCCCTGTAACATTGAGAGCTCATGTGGATCGCTTGAGGATGCCTTGAAAACATCCTTACTTCAAAGAACAAGTGATAATCAGTTCGGATATTGCAAGGCCGAGAATTCTATCATCGAAAGCTCCAGCTACAAAGAGTGCCTTAGCTGCCTGCAATCAACATCGAACCAAAAATTCCTCGCCAATTGTTTGTCTCAGCTTCACTTCCAATCTTAGCAGATCACTAACAGGTTCTTAGTTTTGGTAGCTCTGAAGGCAGGTTGTATACAGGAGCCAGAGAGGGGTGATATAATTGGTCTTAGTGGGACCATCTTTGCCTCATCACTCGTTAACATTACCGATCCTAGCACCAACAAGACTCTTCCCGGTGACGGAGGTGCTGCCGTTGGCTCTATGACCACTGGCACAATCGTCGGCATCGCAGTGGGGTGTGGTCTGGGTGCTGCTGGCCTTGCTTGGCTCCTCTTCATGTACTGTCGACGAAGCCGGAATCGTCGAGGGACAGCAATCAAGATCTCATCACCACCGCCAGATACCTCCATGAACGACCGTTCAATGTATGGCATTCAAAAATCGTCTTACTTCCACGACGGTAGGAAGCAACCACTGCCACCTATACACGATCCTCCACGTGCAGGAGGACACATACGCACAATGTCCAATGCACAGTACTATGATGGACTTGAGCGCGATGAAGAAGATGGGTTGGGAAATGTCAACTATCACTACGTGCCATATTCAAAAAGTAACGGTCCCAACAGTGCACTACCAACACATCCTGCATACATTCCGCGGGTAGTTAGCAAACTTCCCGAACCACACATTGCCACACACACCCGCAAAGCCAGTGCTCCCGACTCTTATGCCCTTCAAACCTATCTTAAGGCCACCGACGACTTTGGGCTTAACCGGGGGAGTATTAGTGACGCCATTTCGAACAGCACAATTTCACAGAATGCCAGTAGGAATCCATCGCCTGCTCGCCAGAAAGACCTTCTTGAGCCACTTGTCGCTTCGGTTCCAGCGCCTATAGCCTCTCAAGCGCCAAGACCAAGGCTTCCTTCTCTGGCATTTCCCTCCCTTCATAAACTTGTTATTCCCCGAAAGCAAAACCCTCCAGAGGTCAACTTGGTATCTGCGACCCCGATCTCTGCCGACCCTGACCCCTGTCGCGAAATGAGAATCTCCAAGCCTCTGGCTGTCCTTGATCCTCGGTTCCAGGATCGACCTTTAGGCGGGGGTACTATCCTCGCAAATGAGATTCCTGTGGGATTCAGTGACGAATATCTAAAGAGGAGAGAGGCAAATAAGTCGCCTATGCTGAGTGGAAATAGTCGCGTTTATGGTTGAGATATCCTATGTATTCATGCCACTGCTCAACGACAGATAGGGATAGTGGTTTTACGGAAATGTCAATTGGTTTAAGCCTGGAGTTACTTGGTTAATATATCCTGGCACGGTACGCCCTAGATCGATATGGTACAAATGGTGGGGCTCAGGAGTTCATAGCGAGAAACATTCTTTTATTTTCATGCGTACACTGCGAGTGGCCGTTGTAGACGAGTGTGTTTCAGCCCAGTCGCTGGCCTGGGCCACGAGACCGCCACGAATCTGGCAAAGGACCTGTGTTGACACCAGTGCTACGTCCAGAAGATGGTGAATTACCAGGTCGGACGGCGGTACCGAAACCTCTGGCAGTGATTCTTGGTGTCTGCACAAGACGCTCAAGCCAGGCAGGGGTTCTCAAAAGTCTAGGACCGTTCCCGAACTCAGGCCAGATTCTTGTGAGAAAATCGAACAGATGGGCGGCGAGTAGACCCTCAATTTCGGCCAATGCCTTCTGTGGTCCTGCCATGAGCGCGGTGACAACGATCATGCAGATTGGCAGAGCCTGGGCGGGGATGGTAAGAACGAGATACTGTGTTTTTTGGCCACGTTGGTCTTGAGTAGTAGTGTAAACCATGGCAAGAATGAGGCCGTTCATGTACAAGAAGCTCGTAAGTCCGGCGAGGTAGTCGATCATCTAGCGACGTCGTTAACCTCAGTACAGGCACATGACATACGGGTGCGTGTTTGGGATATTTGATGTTTTATTGCTATGATATAAAAATGTAGGGAGCTAAAAAACCACTCGAGTGAATTGAGGATCACACGAGCCATCCATATAGACATCCCACCATGCCTGCACCGCAGACCAACCCGGAAATGCGAATGATGGGTGATCCGAGGAGCAGGGGTGATCTTCCTCATTTCCAGGAACCGTGATAGCTGAAGAGGCAAAGCACTATCCGGGCAGATATATGAGGGGGGTTTTGAAAGGAATACATGGGAGAGTAGCAATGCACGGGTATGTAGGCGCAGGCTTACCAGAATTACGGTGCAGACAAATAATATGTAGAACACAAGATCGACCTTGCGTGGGAAACGTGGGTTTCCCATCTCCAGCTGCACGCTATAGCGATACAGAAAAAACGAGTTGAAGAGCAAGTTGATCGGCTGCATTTCGACGAAGAAACATGTTACGAGTCGCCAGATTTGAGGCGGAAACGTCCAAAGATAGGACGGGTGATATATCAGACGCGTGGCTGGGAGTAGCCCGACGATGCAACCAATGGAGGTCAACACTGTAGCAGTAATCAGATTCCTGTGACATGGTTAGCGAGTGCTATCGAGACCACAGATGAACATGCAACGTACCGAGAAACGGGTGGCAGGGCCCAGTAGGCAGCCATCACATTGTCAGCCATTATGGGCAACTTTGCTCAATGCGGCGACGGTAGTAGTAGCAGGTCAACGATAGCTGAGTTAAGAGTACTTTATCTGCACGAGGAAGAAAAAGAAAACAAGTGAAGGTTCAGCAGACGTCTTATGTAGAAAGAGAAGAAACATGGGACTTTGCAAAGCCAGGCAACCAGGGACTCATGGTTATTGCTTGCGTGTCATCTTCGTTCTTTGTCTTTGGAAGAGTGTGGAAGGAGAGAAGGTAACAGCTTGGAAAAAATTCCAATAAATGAACAATCCGCTCTAGCGGGGCACCAGATCGGGGCCGACGTTCCGCCGAGATTGAAGGCCCTAGGTGTGGCTAGTAGGAGCTCGCGCCACACTTGATGAAGCGTGTGTCATAGAAGCGGAAGTGACCGGGCTTCGGGATCTCCAAGCTCACGAACATATCGTCTGATATTGCTGTAAAACTTTTTATTGTATTCACTCATCAATTGGCTCTGGAGCCCTCTAAAATACTGAGTTCTGGACACTGGGCCTTGAGGCATCAACATCACAAAGACAAGATCAAACCATCATCATGCGTGCTCACGATGCTATGCAGAGCGAGGAAGCCAATGATGCTGCTTGGGAGGCTGCCAGAGGAGGTGTTGCAGGTGCAGTCAAGTGGGGAATAGGTGCCGCAGTGTTGGGTGCTGCCGGGTATATCTGGTCGCCGTTGTATCGATCCATGACGATTCAATTCAAAGTGTAGGGCTCACTCTCACAGCTGATCCATCCTGGTACTGACCTTTCAAGGTATTTACAAATGTGTGGCATGGTACCTGGAGCCATGATCGAGGCAGACTCACGGCTCAGAGCATACGAGCACCGAGTGAGAATGCAGCGGCGGTTGATGGGCGACAGGGCGAAATGGGAACGCTATGAGGAAGAATTCATCAAAGGTGATGGCAAGTGATCGCCTCTGGCGCGGAAACAGAGTCCCTATGATCTCAATCTCATTGAAAAGTCTTGACTGCAACTGCTTAGGGTATAATGGCGTACATATGTCACATTAGAGATGACCATCGAGTCGTCTGTGTAAATCACATTACTTTAGCATCTTTCCTTCGCTTTCTCAGTCGAATACCAACTCCAACGCCAATGATGCACCCATGTCTAGATTCATCTTCATATTCTATACCCGAAATCGCTTAGGATCCATGTTGATTTTGCATAGCCGAACGACGCATCCGCTGAGTTGGAGTAGTGTTTGCACACCTTCGAGGACCTTCATATGTGTAAAGCCTATCTCTTTGATAAACTCCAGCTTTGCATGTTCGCTCAACGTAGGGATAGTCTTCGTAACCTTGAACATAGTGCTAATAATGTCGTGGCTTGAGTAACCTAGATCCCAAAGTTCTCGGAGTGTTTCCAGTGCGGAATCAACATTACCCTCATAGCAAGCCTTCAGCATCGCCTGCACCTTGATTGGGTGAGGCGAGTCAACAACCTTGAAGACATTGTCTCCTGAGACGAATCCAAAGCCGGCAAAAGTAGATTGAAGGTTGTTGATAGCTTGTCGCATATCTCCCTCGGCGCTGAAAACCAAGGCTGCAAGTCCATCATCACTGTATTCAACCTTTTCCGCCTCAATGATTTGCATGAGTCGCTTTACGACTTGAGCGTCGGTTAACTTGGCGTATCGTAGGATGGCACATCGTGATTGGAGGGGTTCGATGATCTTGTTGGACTGGTTGCAGGCGAAAGCAAATCGTGTAGTGTTGGAGTAGATCTCCATAGTTCGTCTGAGGGCTTGCTGAGCACCCGAAGTCATGCTGTCGGCTTCATCGAGAATGACCAGTTTGTGGCGCCCCGCAGGCAGAGTGACCTTCTTTTGGGCGAAGCCCTTGATCCTGTTTCGAACAACATCAATACCTGGATGTGTCAGTGAGATTTTTATCGCATGGGAGGATCCAAGTACCTCGCTCGTCACTGGCATTGAGCTCCAAGACCGCTTCCTTGTACGATTCACCTAAGAGCTGCCGGGCCAGACATAGAACACTGGTGGTCTTTCCAATACCAGGCATACCCGAGATGATTACATGGGGCATGTTGCCCTCTCTAGCAATAATCTTGAGTCTTTCGATCGTTTCTGTGTTTCCGACGACATCGTCGAGGAACACTGGTCGATACTTTTCCACCCTAGGAACAATGAGTGAGCAATTCTTCAAGGAGCATGAATGGCATACCAGGGAAGCTCATAATTTGTGGTCCCATTAGAAGAAGCTTTGAGAGCCGCCTTTGAGGCAGAGTTCGACGACTCGCCACGTTCTTCGGGTTTTTTGGAAGACATTTTGGGTATGCTGTTGTGGTAAAATCGTCGATCCTACAACTGAAGCCTGAAATGGTATGTCAATCACTTTACGCGACTGAGAGAAGACAGACGCGTCGAGTAAGTGATCCGTGCGCAGAACCTGGAGCCACGGTAGCGCCCCACTCATGCCACCGCTTTCTACTTTCTATGGCAAAATCTTGTCACTGCGATAACTTTTTTGAGTCTATCAAACAGCAAATATATCACCAACAGTATCTTGAATCCACAGCTTCTGGACGATCCACGACAGGAATACCACTGAAAATCCACGAAAATAGCAGCGACTTCAATTCTCAAGCTTCACACAGTATCAAGCAGCCATGGGTGTTCAGAAAAAGACTCGCAAATTCGCAGAGGTATGCATCCTTATCGATAAGCATCGCAAAAGTTGCCCAAATTTCAAGATATCCACGACGATGAAGATGGGGCGCGCAAACATGAAGCACCTCAAATGCTGACCACAATACGCAACAGGTGAAGCGAGTTATTGGTCGTCGCGATGCCAGACTAAAGGAAAACAAACTCAAGGCTGAGCTCGCTCAAAAGGAGAAGGAAAAGAAGACCATCAACGGCGAGCTTATTCGAGAAGCGCCTCAGATGCCCAGCAACATGTTCTTTCAACACAACACAGCTCTCGTTCCTCCCTACAACGTCCTCGTGGATACCAACTTTCTCAGTCACTCGGTTCAGCGAAAGCTCTCTCTTCTCGACTCCATGATGGATTGTCTCTATGCGAAGTGTAACCCTATCATCACTTCTTGTGTGGTAAGTCCCCAGCTCCAAGTTTGAACCCTTTGGACCGTGACTAATAGCTGTTTCCACTCCTAGATGAGCGAACTTGAGAAGCTCGGACCTAAGTATCGCCTGGCCCTAAGAGTTGCAAGAGACGAACGATGGACCCGGCTTGAATGCGACCACAAGGGCACCTATGCAGACGATTGCTTAGTCGACAGGGTGCAGAAATCCAGAATCTATATCGTGGGGACAAACGATAAGGCGCTCAAGCAACGGCTACGAAAGATTCCTGGTGTGCCAATCATGAGTGTGGCAAGGGCCAAGTACGTGATAGAGAGGTTGCCAGGTGCGCCTGACTCCTAGGTATTCTTTTTGTTGTTTGGGAATGGGGGATTTGCATTTACGAGTTTACGACGCATCGCATAGCTTGGTTCTGGCCAGCACTAATGACGTTGAGCCTGGTCACTATTTGAAAGGGTTGTTATGCGATGTTCTAGGGTAGCTAGGTACAAAATCCAACGGGTATTTACCCTCGTCC